TAGTATTAAAAGACGATCAACAAATAACTAGAGGGATTTTTATCTCTTGTTATATATCATATGACCAAAAAAAGTTTTCTAGTAGGTCATGAAATTTATTTATAAAATAGTGATAATGGCATTGCAGTTATTACTTGGACAGTTTATTTTAAAAAACAAATTTCATTGCCTAATGAAAGATTTTTTTCCATTCTATGGGACATATGTGAACGTAATTTGACGGAATGTAAACTTCAACTTTTAACTTTTACTCATCCGATGTCAACGAAAAGAAAAATAAAAACGTAATCATAATCTTTAAATAAACCGTGCCCTTAAATGATTCTGGTATTAAGGGCGGCTTTGAAATGTCAAAAAATGTGCCTCGCTATGATAATAGGGAGGTAAAATAACCAACAAAAGACATTCCAAAACCATTCTTATACAAATTATTATAGGGTTGGAGTGGGTCATGGAATCGTCCCGCCTATCACCTTCTGTGTATTTTACTAAATATCCAAGGACGCACAATAAATACCACACTCGTCTTTATAACTGGTTGTCCAAGCGCTTCATGAACGCGGATTCTGCCCAAGTCTTTGTCTTTAATCATTAACAACTACCTCAGATACTGAAGGTCTTGTAGGAGATTTCCCTTTGTTGACACTGTCATATCGAACAAATCTGTTGATTTCATCTGTAATGTGAACCGCTAACGACGTTTCTTGAATTTGCTAATCAGGGTATTTGGCCAAATATTCTTGCTTACAAGAGATTACAGGATACACCCACTTTCTGTTTATGACTGTCCGTCCCATTGCGATAATAAGATATAACATTGAAAGTGTCTTGTTCAACAGAATAAACCATTCTTCGTTTCCTTGCACAAAAACAAAATTTTACAAAAATGGCAACAAAGCACAATTTAAGTTATGTTAAAAAGTGAGATTGTCACAACATAAGTTTTATGTTCTAAGAAATGACCTATGTAATATGGTGACGTAATGGACAGCGAAAACTAGATCAGAAATAAACTTGACTAGACTTGAACAGCTTCAATTTATGTTATATATATACTCTTTTCGTTCATAGATTTTTAACTCTACACTTTCGCTATTTTATATATCGAGACCATTTGCTGCATAAACGTATTTTTACTTTCCCGACTCGCACTAATGGAATAATAGGTTCTATCTAACAAAGGGCTATTTTTGTTTTCATGACGTTTCATTATGCTAAAGTGCGAAAAAATAGGTCTCCCGGTTCCGCTTGTCTCTCGTTTGTGTGTTTGCCGTCAATTGTTGTGAAACTGCGAAATTTTGCACGTAATTTAGTAATATCGTGTAGATGGTAAAACATTAACCAGAATTTGTGCGGTGATTACCAAAATATAGTCGTCTCAAAATTTTGAAAAAAAAAATTGTGTAACAACATTATTCACTTTAATTTCAAAACTGCGAACCCATTGCTTTGAAATTTTGTAAGCGTTTTAAAGGGTAATTATCGTAGGCACGGTAAATCGTTAATCAAAATTTGTCTGCCTATCCCCTCTTGACAACGTAATCTCAAAATTTTGCTACCTAAAACGTGCAAAATATAATGAGCCTACATTTGTGGTTTATTAAGCCCTTTATATTTTCCAAAATTGGTTATACAGGTGATTGAAACAAAATTAATGAGGCAACTCATTTTATTGATCAAATCAATAACACCTCACCTCGGTTTCCCAAAATGTTGGAATTTCACTATTGTTATCATTAATATGACACTGTAGCTACAGATTAATATATATTTAATTAAAACTTGTAATATATATTTTACAATTTCATTATATGTATGTAAAGTCCAGTCATAGAAAACTGGACCACTTTGATATACATATTATTTTAGTTCTGTATTTTTTTAATATCAAAATAATTTAAACATACTTTCCTGATTAAAAAAAAGGGCAGTTACTTTGTCAAAAGTATTTGATTTATCAAACAAAACATTAATTACACCCTAAAATTTTTAAAATTTTGAAGTGTACGTCAAAACCTAGTGGTCTAGTTTCCTAGGGCCGCAACCGTACATACAAGACCAAAAGTCAGATTCAGTTCAGCTCCCACTAGTGACCGAAAAGTTTGTCTTAATAATCAAAATATCATAAAAATAGTAAGTTTATTAACCGTTCAAAAGACACAAGAATTAAAAAATATTAACAAATTTCCTCAAATTTTATATGTATATACTGCGAAACATTGTCTTCATTATATAATAATAACCTAATCCATAAACGTGTGGGACTTGGGTTGCAAACATCAAGGCCGGGAATTTACGTTGATGATTATTATTGTTCTGAAAATTTGCTTTAAAGCTTGCTGTCGCACTTGCAGTAAATTTACAAATATGGGAAATCTAAAGATCGTCTATAAACGACCAAATCGGTAAGAAGTGTATAAAGCACGGCTGTGGTATTTATATTCTTATAGCGGAAAAACTATAGTGGCTATGATAACTAACAGTGATAAGCTCTTTTTTTTTGGTTACGTCACAATTATGGTGAGTACGCAAAAGAATTAAAGACGGAGAAATTCAGTGCAAACTTTTTGCAACAACTGAATAGCTTTTGTTTTCAGTATTAATAAATCAAGAGCATTATAATTACGAAATAATTGTATCATAGCTTTCGAAAGCACGTTACTGGGTAACACTAAGTTGTATTCAAAGAAACGTGCTTGAGAAAGATTTAATAAAATTACCGAGAGAACAATAAAAAACACGGTGAGAGATAGCCATGGATTTTTGAAAGTGATTCTTTGATCGTTGCATTTTCAACTCAAACTGTCAGACTGACGGTAATTGAACAAGACATAAATTCTATCAAAAATAAATTATCAAAAATCCATGGCTATCTTTCTTATGCTCTTTCGCTATAAGAAATCGGATAGAATTTTTTGTCTCTTAAACTACTAACCTAATGGTTAAAAATGTTTGTAACAGAACAAATTAAGGAGGTTCGTTAAGGTTACTATATTTCTTTTTATTATATTGTCTAGTGCTATCAACATCACCACCATCGTTACTATTATTATTAATGTTATGTATGTATATATTAATTTTTTTAGAGATTTTTTTTGTTGTAAAAGCATGATTTTGGCGCTGACTTTAAAAATTCTTGTTGATTTTGTTCATTTGCCATTTTGTCTTAATTCCTCCTCCTAACTGTTGTACGCTAATTTTTTTGTAGAAAAACAATAATAATTTTATAGGTACTATGAGGGACATGGAATTCTGGGCAGTCTGTTCTTGTCATTTCAAAAAATGTCAATGTAAATGCACATTTAGTGTCAGTATGATTGATATTTTCGAAAAAACTGTCAAATTAATTTTGAAATATATCAATTGCTTCAATATGCCAGCTGTATCAATTTTTAACAAATCTTGAGCAGTAATTGCATGTTAATATAATTGAAACAAATTTAATAAAACTTCGACTTTGTCAGTGTCAAAATGCGAAATACGCCAAACATTGAAAGAGTGGTTATGAATAGCTAAGGTCTGGTTTAGAAATTTTGACAATTGTGTGACACCTCTGCCCAGTTTTCCGTGTCACCGATGGTAAAAGATATTAATGTTTTAGTTTAAAACTAACATGAAATGCTGTGTTTGAGCTAAACCTACAGTGTCTTATTTCGCTTCTTGGGTTACATAAAACTCAACAGTCTAGTTGAGATTTCGGGAATTTAAAATTAGCAGTTAATAAATTATACCGAGTGGTCATTTGTTTTTGATACAAAAGAAATTTACACGTAAATTGATGGTTTTGTGGCAGTCGTAAACGGCGAAGTTGTAGGGAATTAAAAAAAAAGTTCCTAAAACATAATAAAATTAAAAATATTCACTAAGTATAGTCATCTAGTTGTTTTTCTATAAACTAAAACAGCTTCTAACTTTTCCAAATGTCTGTAGTTTCGACCAGAGTACACAAGGTCATGCAAATAACCCCAATAGAAGAAATCATTTGAAATCAGATCTGCTGACCTCGCTGGACAATTGTACCACCACGACCTATCCAATGATTTGGGAATACATTGTCTAAATATTAATTATCGGACGTCCCACGTAAAATGCACAGGACAACTATCATGTTGGTACCAAATTTTATTTTCACCACTGCTGATCAAATTGTTTCTTCCAATAAACTACAACGGTTAAGTGAATTGATGTGACCCAATATTGCAGTCCGTACTATGTTGATGGTACATTTTAAACAGCGTAGGGATAGGGAAAATGGAGTACGTATAAATAAAGTTTTTGAATTTTATTTTCTCAAGAACTAAATAAAGTTAATGATGGATGAAAGGGTAGTTTTAAAAATCGTTTTGAATTCTTTACAACTTTACAACACTGCGTATCTAGTAAGTGAATAAAAGTCAGATTTAAAATCAAATTGATTGCTGTTTAATATGCAAAAATCCTTCTTTTCAAATATCTGAGATATATTAATTAAATTCTGCCAAATAAAGAAACGTAATTCTACTGTGACACGACATTTCCACTTCTAAAATGAAAAATATATGTAATGTAACAAACTCATGCTGGCTTAAAAACTGTTGCAAATAAAGTCTTTAATTTTATTACACAAGTACATTTTAGAAGTGATTCTATACAAATATTTAACATCGGGAACAATTTTTCTGTATTAAATAAGTTTGTCCAAAATTGGTCACATAGCCACGTGTGTCTTTTGCAAACTTCCGTCTAGACTCTACCGATGGCGATTGCCTACACAATAAATTTAAATAATAAATAATATGCAAAATAACCGCCAGCACAGTGAATAATTCCCTTTACTCTTTGCCACAATAAATTGTTTTCATTCATTTGATTATTTCATACTTCAGGTAATTTATTTCAACACGATGCAAGATACCCAGCTACAGTCCGGTGGTCATATTAGGTATAGAATAAAATTGGAAATCTTCTCGAGGCGCAGCAGCGTCGACAAAAGATTTCTTATTCGGTAACTAGTCATAGTGTTCAATGATACAACTGGACCTCCTAGTTGAGTTCAGTAGTTTGTGGGATGCAAAGACGGTGCAGGTTAGATTGGAGTTCTGAAACCTGGCGCCTGTGGTCTCGAATTGTTACAACAAATGTTCACTGAATTTAAAAAAAGTGCAGTATGAAATTTTTTTATTTTCGGAGGAATTTCAGTTTCACTGGATTAATTTTATTATTGTGTAAGTATTATTATTAGATTAAAATACATTAATTTTTTAATTTATATTTATAAAGTTCATGACCATTTTTTTGGAATCATGAGACTAATAGAAAACTAATTTGCACTTTTATAACTAATGAACAAAATAAAAATTTTGGTATAAATTATAAATAGATAATTTATATTTTATTTATACTTCGTATAAGCGTAAAACTAGACATTTCAAGCGTTTCTTGTTCATTTTTTAATTTAATTTTAAAATAGATTTTAGATATTTTCGTGCCTCATTTGCCTTGTAAACTTGCACTGTGAAATTAGTGTGGACAAAACCTGCACATTTTATGATGCAACAGGTTTAACGCACGATCTAAATTTGTACCTCGTGGCATTTTGTTTTTGAAAATTTTCAAATTTAGTTGCACTTAATTAGATAGGTAAAACAAATTAATAAATAACATAAGCGAGGTCAGTAAACCAATAGTTGAAAGTCTGCAGATAACAATGTAAATTTACCGCAAAACCACATTTTGGATTCAAGTAATTGAACGATTTAAATAGAAAAAAACTTCCTTCTTTATGTTTTAACTGCAATCAGTCAATCATTATTTATTACCGATCGCTGCAAGAAAATACCACTTTCATGGATCTATTTAGAGAAATGTATTTTTAATGTTGTTAGTCATGGGAGATGCAAGCGTGATTCCCATAATGACCACCACCTTTCACTATCAATAAGTATTTTTGTGAGGTGCTTGCGATTACGTATTGGTGAAGAAAAAGCGCTAAAATAGAACGAAATTAAGTTTTATGAGATTTTCTATCAATTTCACAGGAGAAACTTAATAAGGAATGTTCATTTTATAAAGCGGACACTGAAAAATTGCTACTAATTCGAGTACTTTGGGCTAATTTATTTTTTTTTTGTTATAAAAATGTTTAACAATGTTAAATGAAATAATTATTCTTATTCTCTAATCAATTATATTCAGAAACTATACAATTTTCTAACTATTGCGCGAATACCTCGAATCACTGTTTGCACAGGTTTGTTTGTGATTTCTTCATAGCAGGAGGCCACATTTTTTTAAAATCTCCAACTCATGATGTTGTACGGCCATCTTTTCTTAACACTGATTTCATATTTGCCCATTATCGCTCAAGTAGACGAAGCTCAGGACAGTTGGGTGGTTTATTTTCCTTTTTTAAAAACTGTACATTATTGGCATTAAGAAGCTCCTGAGTGGCACCAGCGTAGTGAACCGAAGCCAAATCTGGCCAAAACAATGGAGGGTTATGATGTTTGCAATAAACAGGCGATAATCGCGTTTTTATACATTCTTTCCTGTAATCATCGCCCCGAATTGTTCCAATCGTAAAAAAAAACTAAAACTTTTTAGCCCACAAGATCAAATCGGTTGCCACACTAAGACTTTTTTCCCAAACTTTTCAATTTTTTTTTGTTTTCATGTCATCGAGGACATCTTCCCCTACAACTGCATTATAAAACTGGGAGCCGGGTAGTGTATTGCAGTCCATTTTAACCTTCGTTTCGTTGTCCATCAAAACACAACGATTTTTGTTCCTGACCAAAATTGTTTATAACTTCCTGCTTTTTTTTTAAACTTTGTGCGCTGCTTTTCGCTTCTTTTTGGGATTTTTTGCTTTAATACGTTCTAATGTTATTCCGAGTCTTTATATTTTGTACAATACCTACGGTAACACCTTGCTTCTTCGGTATTTCCCACACAGACATACATTTCGTTAATTTTAGCAGTTTAATGATGTTTTCCTCAATATTTTCGTTAAGCGGGCCTTTTCTCGGTCAGGATTTGAGCAAATCTTCTAAAGTATTAAACTCCCCAAACTTTTTGATTATTTGGAACATTGCTGATTTTGAACATTTAGTTATTTTAGGCAGTCCCCCCAACGGAAATTTTTCGTAGCATCACTTTTGCAAAGATAATTTTCTTGCCCCAATGGCGATTCGCTTCATTTTAAAAAGAAATAATGTTATTTTGAAAACAAAAATGGCATTTAATAGATACAACTTAAAGCTTTCATATATAAAAACTAGAATAATTTAGATTAAAAATTAGAAAAGTGGCGTTACTTTAAAGGTGTCCGTTTAATAAAATGAACACTCCTTAATACACTGACAAACATATCGTTGAATCTTTAATAACAGCACGTAAAAAGCTGGGATTTTTTAATTTAGTTTCTAAATAAGTATAACGTTTAAAAACAAGAAAATCTACTCAAAAATTTGAAATTTGTTAAAAAAAACTGTAAATTGTGTGGAAAAAAAAAACTGAAGTCCTTTGTGTTGTGAGTGACTGTTTAAAAATCTGTAAAGTTATTTACAGAATATTCCGTAATATTTATCTAATCGATGATTTATCTAAGATCTCCAAAATCGTGGAAATGTAATAACGTTGTGTTTGGTATTACATTGCACATTTCATAGTTAATATCCGTTTCCCTTCCAAGAGGTTGATGACGCAATTGTTATTACAAAATTTTGTCTCAGTTTCACAAAGCTCTTATGTTTTAAATCATCAACAGTTATCGTAAAATTGGTTCATTTAATTTCTTTAAAAGAACTAGAGTAATGTTATATTGTATGTACACAGCAAAGAACGTATCCCTACCAAACGTCTATTTCGTCATTTGGAACAAATATTGCTTATAACGTTAGTGGTGTATTTTTATTTTTTAAACTCTGTACTAAGGACTTAAAAAAAATACACTATAAGCAGATTTATTTTCTCGTTAAAATACACATGTGAAATGTATGCAGTAAACTTCTGACATATGTAGCGCTAACATGAGATAAGAAATTTTCAAGAAAATAATATTATCTTCTAGAATGCGGAAGGGAGTTGTTTTACGTAAACTTTATTTGTAAGGCATAAACAAAATTGCAATCAAACTGTTAAAAATTGTGTAAATATAAATATGCGATATACCGTTTGAGGAATTTGACCAATATTCCTTTCAAGTAATGTCGCTTCTATACTGGTTACGTAAATGCCTCTTTTTATAAATTGTATGCAGTGGTGACAATTCATATTGTCAATCGACATAAAAAATTGTCACTAAATGTAATTTGCAACAGTTATTATCTCGTTAATGTATTTTAAAGAAAATGGCTCATTTTTTAAGTTGCAGTAGAATGTGTATTTTTTACTAGACGTGCAAGAAAATAGTTATGGTTATTTTATAACTGCAACAAATTGTGAAAAACAAAATAAAATAACGCGGAAAAGAAGGGAGCTTTAGAGATTTTCAATAAACAGAAAGTTTGTGCTAAAATTTAACATCAACAACACTTCTCAGAGCTTTGATCAAGAGAGTAAATTTTTGTGACAACCTATATCTTGACATTGTATGAGAAATTTTATTTAAATCCTACATGCTCCACTGCAATGATTGTAGACAATGGATGGCAGTAATTTCACAATATGTTTAAAAGCTGTATTTTGAATGTTTTATGAAATTAAAAGACTAAAAGTTCTGTGGGAAGAAGATTTTACAATACATCCTAAGCTAGCAAAAACTATACACCTACTATTGTTTCAGAAACCATTATGTTCAATGTGGTAATAAAAAAAAAATTAGTAATGTACATCTATGTATGTTGTTAATTGTATGTTTGAATCAACTAATTCATGGTAGCGTTGATGACAAGCTCAAAATGTATTAATTTTTTATGTACCGCTATTGAATTCGAGATATTTAATTTATTTTCATTTACCTCATTATCCTACTAATATAATGGTGACATCACCGTTACATGTTATTTGTACAAAATGATGAATTCAGTTTGTGAACAATGTGATACATATATGATTGGAACAATTACTTTTAAAAAGTAATGAATTACAATTACTCATTAAGTACATTCAGTAACAATAGTAATTCATTACAATTACAAATTACTTTTAAAAAGTAATCCATTACTTTAACAATTACTTTTTGCACTTTGAAAAATTTGATGAAGACACAATTTTAGATATTTGTTGTATGGATCCAAAGGGTCAAGAAAAAACGTGTTAGAAGGAAAAAGGCAGTGAGTGATTTATTTTACTAACCCATTTATTACATATTCACCTCAGTAAATAAAATAAAACAAATAAATACTTCACGCATATCATAATTTAAATTCAATAAAAACTGACATTCAAAATTTTCGCCAGCTAATTATGAAGGGTTTGGACTCTATCGGTTACCTGTTATAGATTTGAGTGGATCAGAAAAATGGCTAAAGTTTGTTTGATCACAAATTTTAAATATTCTGCCCTTGTTTACTCAATTATTTATTAAGATATTTTATTTCTGTAAAGTGCAATGCATTTTTTAATACAATTTCTATTAATGTACCTTTTTGAAAATTTAAAATTGATCCATAAATAGCGAAAACCAGATAATCTCATACTCATAACAATTTTAACGCGTTGTAGTTTTGTTTTGACTACAAAATTTAAAAAACGCAAAAGCAGTCTGGGTGGGGTTTTTTACGCTCATTTCAACGGTGTGAAGTTTATTACAATCGGACGTATACTTTTGGCAAAAACTTGGGCAGCAGTTTATATGTATTTCCCTATGCTGGAATATGCTTTAGCTCACCCTTAAAATGATGAGGAGCTTATGTATATTATGGTTACCTGGTTTCTTATATTTTTTGAAAAATATTGTGTTACAATTACTCATTACTTGAAAAGGAATTGAATTACTGTAATGGATTATTTGTAACTGAATTACTTCCATCCACTGAGAAATGAGGAAACTGTAAGAAAATAAATATCTAAATTATTATTATTAAAATTTTATTACCGTTTCATGAAATAAAATTTTATTACAATTTCATGAAATAAAATTTTACTGGCTGTAGGAAAATAAGTAAGTGTAACTAATGTGTTTTTTTCAGCAAAATCTGTTTTTTTCTGTTTGTTGGTTCAAGCCGTACTTATCTAAATATTAAATCTCCCTACGTTATTAGTGCATAAATACCGGGTGGCT